TACTAGAGGTCGTGAGAATGTTTTTAGTTACACACCACTTAATCAACAGACACATACACACATTGATTTTCTTAATGTTTTGACTACTGCTATGGCCAGCTGCAAAGCTGGTAACAGAGACGTCTCGGTTGACGTTTCTGTGTAGTATGGGGCTAGCCCAACCGAGGGGATATAATGTATAGGCCTGGTGGGTTCAGGGGCTTTCATCTTACATCTGCCTGCGAGCAGGTTGGAGGTGCAAGATACTTGAGCGTGTAATGTTAATTTTACCTGTGTTCATGGAATAAATCAGCACTGTTTTGTAGTTACTTGGACTACTTCGTCTCTCAGGGTCAGTATGGTAAAAAGTACCGGGTACAACACCTTAAAGTCAACACTGTATCTGAAATTAATTTCTGCTGAGGCGTCGACACACACACAGCCCGGTGTTGGTTTGACTTATGCACCTGGGCATAAACACAGAGTTCAGCTTTAGTTCATTTCCTGCAGCGACAGTAGTGCTGGTTACTGGTAGTTTAATTGGTGCAATGTGTGTGTGGACAAGCACTTTACAAGCAGTTAACCAGGGTGTTGGTTGTTGCTAAATCTTGTCACATGTTTTTTGTCATTTTGCTTTTACTTGACAGAGACAGAGGGGAACAATATGCTGCACACAGCAGGTCCCCAGCAGGGTATTGAACTGTGGGCGTTGCGGTTATGTGGTGCTCCTTAACCATTAGGCAACCAGACACAACAGTTCCATCACGGACTTAACGCTGTGACTCTGTACGTTTCCTATATCACAGGGTGTGACACGGCTGCTTGATCCCCTCTCTTCTCTAATGTGAGGTGGCTTTGTGTAACGGTGGCCCAGCCATTCATTAATCTCACACACCTCCTATCCACATGCTGAAGTGTCCTTGAGCAAGAGATAAAATGTCAAGTTGCTCCTCAGTAGCTCGCTGCCATCAGTACGGATGAGACAAATCGGATAAAAGTGCTTTATAAATGCAGCCCATTTAGCAATGAGAGACAACGAGTGTGCAGGAGCTGCAGCTGCTGGAGTAACATAAGTGGGAATCTGTGCTATATTACCAAACTATACGGACCGGATTCCACTTTCCAAGTCCAATCTAACCCTAATCTAAAAGGGTCCTCCCAGTTCCTAAATGCTGTGAAGGGATAAAATAGCATAAAGGGCTGAGGAAACACAAACACAACACAACAGAGGTGGGTTTCTGTTCCACTCACGTCAGTCACTGGATGCAATGTGCCATTTGTTCAGTTGTTTGTCATGTCTTCCTGAAAAAATAAAAGCATGTTTGCTTTCCATATTCCAAGTCAAGTCACTACAGCAGTCACAGGAAATAGATAACTTCAGGATTTCAACTAATTATCACTTTGTGAGCACAGAAAAACTACAGCTCCCATAAAACACTGCAGGTCATGCAGCGTGTCATTTTAGCTTGGTTTCATCCATGAACTCTAGGTTCTGTCCTGAAGTAGTTCTCCTCTGTGTCCTGCTGTTACTCGGTGCTGGAAGTACTCATATTGTTTACTGAAGTAAAAGTAGCAATACCACAGTGTAAAAATAATCAGTTATAAGTAGAAGTTCTACACATTACTTAAATAAAAGTACACGACTACTATCATCAAAATACACTGACCAATTATGCAGAATGGCACATTTCACATGAACATATATTATTATTGATGCGCTCATTACATTTAATGTTGCAGCTGCACTGAAGCCAATTTTAACTATTTGAATTACTGCTGGGTAGCTTGTAAATTTCTCACAGAGGATCAATAAAGTCTTATGATTATACTGTTGTTTTATTCATCTGATTCTGCAAAGTAATTAAAGTGATCAAATAAATGTAGTAGGGTAAAAAGTAAAAGATTTGCCTCTAAAATGTAGTGAAGTCCAAGTATAAAGTAGCAGAAAATGCAAATACTCCAGTACCTGAGTAAATGTACTTCGTTATTTTCCACCTCTGCTGTTATTGCAGACACGTCTGAGATCATGGCAAACCGCTCAACTCTCTGGCTGAGCCCTGATGTTTAGTCCATGAACAGCAAAGGCTTATGGGAAATGATGTTTGTTAAAGGCTGGTAAAACATTACGACTGCAGAGGCAAATATATTAGATTGTTTTTCCAGAAAGGCTGGACTGTTAGTTATTAGTGTGCTTACTGAGATTTTGAATGAAGTTTTAGTACGTCAGGACCTGGAAGACTCAGTTTTGCTTCAGCGTCCCATCATCATTCCCGTGCTATTACACACCTATTTGCCCTGGTCAGTCACCAGCACTAAATGTTAACACGTACCATGGGAAAAACCCCACAGTGTCTCTACAAATATTCCCCGAACTGTTCCACCCTTTAATGAAAATTACACACAACAGCTGCTGTATCAACATGAATTTCTTTAACAGAAGATCAGCAGAATTCAAATTTTAGTTCAACTTTAACCCTAAAACCAAGCCTTAAACTTCAAACTGCCTTTGAAGAAATGAAATGTCCTCACTTTCCAAACATGTCCTCACAAAGATAAAAGCACAAGCACAGTGAGAGACACAGCGTTACATTTTCTACAGAGGCCTCTTCGCAGACACAAAGACCCAGGAGACACACTTCAAACCGCTCTGTTGTCTGTTCAAGGAAACCACGGTCGTTCCTCTGTGTGCGTCTGTGTATCCTCACTTCTCATTACGTGCAGCTGGTGTGTGTCCTACCTCCACAAGCTCATGTATGCAGACACACACACATTGTACCGGTGGACAGTCTCCTCCCTCCGTCTTTTAATCGCTCCATCAAAGCCTCATCAGCTCTTTTACGAAAACAAATAAAGACTGCTGGGGAATTTAAATACATAAAGGGAGGGAAAATCTGACCTTTGAATGTCATTGAGTGGCCGGACGGCGAGGGATCAGGGAGGGGATGGAGATGGTGGTTGGTGGGGAATGAGAAGGAGACTGCAGAGGGCTTTTTTTTCCACAGAATGTGAACTTGTGGTGGCGCAGTGGTTAGCGCCGTGGCCTCACAGCGAGGAGGTTCCGGGTTCGGGCCCCACCTGGAACCTTTCTGTGTGGAGTCTGCATGTTCTCCCCGTGCTTGCGTGGGTTCTCTCCGGGTACCCCGGCTTCCTCCCACAGTCCAAAGACATGCAGCTTAGGTTGATTGGTGTCTCTAAATTGCCCATAGGAGTGCGTGTGTGTGTGTCTATGTGTTAGCCCTGCGATGGTTTGGCGACCTGTCCAGGGTGTACCCCGCCTTCGCCCGATTGCCGGCTGAGATTGGCTATGGGCCCCCCCCGTGACCCCATTCAGGGACTAAACGGTAGAAAATGAATGAACTTGTGGTGTGAAAAGCCAAAAAATATCCTGTTTCTTTGTCTTTTTTGGTTTCCTGAGTGGGTGTGTTCCCCTTTGTGTTTAGCTTTCTGCACTCATCTTATCTCCTCTGGCTGTCTCTCTCACCCTCCCTTCCTCTCCTTCTCTTTCCATTATTTGCAGTGTCAGAAGTAGATCAAAGCATATTATGCTGGCTATGTGCCAGGCACATTATCTCACTCCAGTTGAGATTCTCATTTTTGGGAAGGTGTGCTCCAGACACTGAGGAGTGAGCTGAGAGCGAGTCTTTAAAATCTGGACTAAACACAGGGGCGACACCAAATCTGGCTATTGCATCATATCAGAGGACTGTGGCTCAACGGACAGTCTGTGGCAGGGGCAACTTCATGATGTGACTCTGGTTCATACTAATGGTGTTCTTGTTGTGCAGCAAATGTTTCCACTTTTTCATAATGGACAGAAGAACAGGAACTGGGCAGTTTGCATCGAGCACATAAAGACCGCTGTCACCTACAGAAAAACAGTTTGCTAACAAAAAATCAGAGGTGGACAACATCACAGTCCCACCCTGTCTGTTACGGTTATCTCTGGGTGGTGTAGTGTGTGTAAACCACATGACCAAGCACTTAGCACGCGAGACGAGGACATAAAATAGTTTACAGAGGGACTTCATGCGACCTTGATCAGGGACACGGCGTTGTTGAATTTAAGAACTGAAAAAAAGGACTAT